TGGCAAAGTTGCTTAAAATTGTATTTTTATTTGTTCTTTGAAAATTTCATGCATTCATGCAATGCATTCTGACCCTGTTCATTCAACATTCCCTCCCTCTAATGCTTCCTAGTATTCACCCCATCTACTTCTCTGTCCTCCTTTTATTGTTTATATTAGACACTCCCCGACTCAAACTAGTGCTGCTCATACGCAGATATGGGTGGAGCTATTAATGAGGTCATAGGCAACCTATTTATAGGCCGTATCCACAAAGGAAAGTGATTCTCCCTTCTTCAGCATCCCTCAAGTGCCAGTGTCAAATAGCTCTTCTCCCATTCATTCTAGAATTCCTGGCTTGACTGGCTTGATCTTGTGCAGGTAATTACTGCTGTGTAGCTCAAATAACGCAAACCCAGAAATAGATACTGGGCTTCAAGCTGAAGATCAGAAACATCCAAGAGAGTTCTTACCCCTACCAAAGCTCAGAGGAGTGGTGTGGGGTGAGGTGGGGAGACCCTGTCCTCAAAGTGACTTCAGACTGCAATGGTCTCCACTAAACTGCAGACTGCCCTGAGACTGCCCTGAGCCTTACTGCTGTGGTTGATGTGTGCAACACTGATGGTTGCCATGTCCAGAAGGTGGCATTTCACAGATGGCCTCCCCATCTAACCAGCTCTTTCATTCTCTTTGTTCCTTTTTTGGTGATGTTCTCTTAACTTTTGATAATGTGGGGGTGGGGGATGGAGGAAGAGGTTAATACAGATGATGCATTCCCAGCCAAACACTTTTGGTTACTTATACTCAACACTTCAACCAGTTATGTGTCTTTGCATCATTTGTTACCCAAGCAAGACAAATCTGTGGTAAGAAACATAAATATTGAGAAAATCTGACAGCATGAACAATTAGCCAAACAACACTAGTAAGTCTCTCCTCTAGGGCCCTATGACACCCCTTGCCATGGGCTTTTGACTAGGTGTACAGTATCAGGCATGAAATTCTTCCTGTGGGGCAGGGCTCAGATCCAATCAGAAAGAGATTGTTTATCCATCAAACTATCATGCTCCAATGGGCACATCTTGCCAGGCAGGTCAGTATTAAAACATGTGGTGTCCTCATCTGGATAAGACCATTGATGTTTCTTGTTTCCTAGCAACCTGCAGTATGCCTTCTAGCTCTATGTCAGCTACCCATCAGGGTAATCAGTACTGGCTTATTTCTGTATGTCCTACATTCAAAATGAGTGGTGTCTGCAGAGATCTAGTTGTGGTGAGCAACAAAGAACAATGGCAGTAGCCCAGGTTGTTTGGGTATCTCTGGGGCTTCTAGAAAAATAACTCATCTAGAAATGTATCCTATGCCCAGAAGTTAGAGTTAATATCTTCTTGGACCAGTGTTTTCCTCCCCTGGAAGAACTTTAAAATCCTTTTTTGTTTGTTTGTTTGTTTGTTTGTTTGTTTTTTGTATTGCATTTTAAAATTAGCTTGAAAATTAATGAATGCTCATTAGACTTCTTCATGTTACCCCCCCCCGTTAACTCATCCCCCTCCCTCTACCTTCCTTACTCTGCCTATCTCCACTAAAATCTTTAACCTTGAAAATCACCCCACTCTGCATCCATGTTGCCGGTATTCGGCTGACCAGTTTTAATACCAGTTGAGTTTGATTATAACAACATCATCCAAGTCTTAACCATATTACACAAATTAAGTATTATAAAAGAAGCTTCCAGTAATGAATGGTAAATATTATTTTCTTCACTAGATAGCAAATACTCTATTCCTAGGGTTAATATCTATAAAAACGTAAATGCATTCACTTGACTAGATCCTGCCATATAACCTGCCCCATGTTATGGAGAACTTACGTTCATACTCATAGATTTTTGTATCCCACACAATATTATTATCATTTTTGTTTACATAGTCAATCCTCCACCCACCGACAGCTGGGGCTCAAACCCAGGGCTTTAACAATGCTAAGCAACTACTCAGCCACTGTGTTTGCCCCCAGTCTTCAATTATCTTTTGAATGGACTTAAATCTTTTTTAAATGCTTGATGCTCCTTCCAGGATCTTCACTGTGTATCTTCAAAAGGACTCATTCACCTATCTTTTCCCTGGACTATTTTCAAAGCTAATTCTCCTTCTGCTTTTATCTTTGTTCACTGTATATGTAATATGGGCTTGACTTTAAGGTTTTTTCTCTTCATTGTTCGTGCTAAATAATTTGTTTCTGACCTTACTTGGTACAGTTTGCTCCATGTCCTGTGTGCTGGGGGTTTGCTTCTCTCAAACATTTCAAATGTTCTCCATGCTCTTTGGAGTTTTCCAGTTATTAATGTACCCAGCCACTCAAAGCGGTTCCACAGTGCACCAGTGTGGTTTACACCATTTAAAATCTTGTTTTCTATATTTGATTTGGAATCATTTCCATAGTCTTTAATTTTCCTTTATTCTTATCAATTATAAACTATCATAAACAGGTTAGTTTTTGTCTTAATTTCTTTGGACATACACACACACACACACACACACACACGCACCTTCAATGTCTGCACTTAACATATTTCATCATATTCTTAGATTCTTGGCCATATGGCATATAGTCATAAGTTTCTTAATGTCCTTGTCTGATAATCCTAACATCATCATCAATTCTTGATTGGTTCCCATTTGTCAGTTTTTCCCTCCCTATTTGGGTCATATTTACCTGCTTCTTTTATAGTTAATTATATTTCTTCATTGTCAATTTTATTCATGTATATAATGCATTTTGATTATTCCTCCCCAACAATTTTTATCTCTCCCCAACCTTTTTACCTACAAACATTTCCCACACATTCCCATCTTTTCGTTGTGCTGTATTGTGTTCTATGACCTGCTATGTTTCATAAAGGCCGTCTTTATGACCATCAGTTTGGAGCTGTGCATCAAAGCATGAGCAAACCTTTCACATGTCTGGTATCTTGTAGGAGATGCTAAGTGTGTAGATTTAACTTTGCCTGTGGTAAGTATCACTGCATTCCTAGAAAGTTATTCTTGAGCTTATTTCTGGGGCAAAGTTGACTTGCCAGGAAACATTCTGATGCAACTGAGTCTTATTTTTAAGTCAGTATGAGGCACCAGAATCTGTTTACTCTCGGGCTACTTATTCCTCATCTCTGAGTCAGCACCCTAGCTGTACTATGTGAATTAAGAAGTTTTCTAATATGGCAGGTGGGAACGATACCCCATCCTTGGCCCTGGGTGAATGTTGAGCCCTGTGTCTTTCAGTTCCTTCAGATGGCTCCTTCCCTGTGCTCCCCACCCCCATCCCTCAAGAGGGATCCTAGAACTCTTCCTCCACAGAGCTTTCTTTTTCTCTCACCTGGCCCAGCAAACTCTCGATGGTTCAATCTTGCTGAAGTCTTCCAAGCCTCCCTGCAAGCTTCTCTTCCTGTACCAAGGTTTGCAAACTAGAGGCAGAAATATGGGTAACCATGGAGTTCACATCCCTGAGTCTGCTTAGTTAATACTCTCATGAATTGCAGTCTGCTGTCCTAAAACATAACAAAAACAATTTTTCATATGCTTTGCCCAGTATCTGGTTGTTTCTGGAGATAAATTCTAGTCACTATTACTCCAGTTTGCCAAAATCCAAAGTCCTTTTAAAGTCGTTCTTGGGTGAATATTACCATATTTTATCCTTAACAACACAATAGATGATGGTTATGGCAGAGAAACTGTCACCTCAAATTTTTTCTCTGAGTTCCTCAGTCTCCTCCAGGTTCAGCTGTTAAAGGCTTATGGCTCTTGATTTCTGGCTTTTAAATTTCTTGAGTCTGAATTAAAGAATTTGAGATTTGAATATTGTAATTATGGGAAGGCCAGCATTGACCCTAGGACAAATGAGCTGGCCATGGGCTGACTGGATCACTTTGGAGACTATGTCTGCTTTGTCCAGCACATGAGAAATCATTGGTGCTAATGAAGGCATCCTCAAGACTTGGTCTGGAAAACCTAAGCAGTGTCTAAGAGCTCTGAGCTTCTCTTCAGCTGTCCAAGCAATAGAAAAGTGTGCATTTCTCTTGTGGGTACCAGATATTTATGCATATCTATCAACAATCACCCTTTTTGACCAACTTCCAGACTTCACTCTTTGTCTTTTTTCCCAGAGAAAATCAGCATAAGCAAGTGTTAATAGAAAAAAATAGGAATTCAACAATTTGGGCTAGAGTGAAACTCGGTTAACAGAGTACTTTTTTAGTGTTCATGAAGTCCTGGGTTTGGTCCAAAGCACTGCATAAAACTGAGTGTGCTAAGTCTAAACGTGTAGTTCAAGCATTCAGGGGTTAGAGACAGGAGGACAAGATGTGAGATCCTGCCTCAAAATAAAAAGCTGCAGTTTAATCTTTAGTACAGTGACCTCCTGTCAGGCACCTGTTCTTTCAACACAACACAACACAGCACAGCACAGCACAGCTCAACACAACACTACATATGATGTACATAACATACACATATGATGCCTGAAAATCCTAGCCTGCCCACACACCATTGTTCTTTCACTGCCGTGTCCAGTGTTTCATGGTAACAAAAGCAACAGTCTACACTAAGAGGCTGCCTTATATAGTCTTAGAATTAGAGTCCAGGAAAAGTTAGAAAGGGGTTCATATCTAAAATTTAGTTAAAGGAAAAAAATACATATGTGCACATGTTTTACTAACATGATATTTAAGGGCATATGCATTTCTTGAGTCTTCTTGTATTTAGTAAAGATTCATCTCACAATCAATCATAATACATTTTAAGAAGTAAGTTCTTTTACTGGGCCGTGTTTTACTCCTGTATCAGTAAGCTGTAGATACAGTTTTATGTGAGATTCCTGATACTTGAGGAAATAATGTTCCTGGGAGTCCCCCATTGGGCCCTTTCTGGTTAGACCATAGAGGATCTCTACATAGAGAGGACTGGCTCTTGGTCTTGTAGGCATCATGTTTTCACTTGCCTACCCTCCAGGTCTCTTTCTTCCCACAGGCTCCCAAGTGGGCAGAACAAACAGCTGTCAGTCAGACAGCAGCGGGTTTTTGGAGGAGCTGCCAGAACCCCATCCCCTCCAGGTAAGACAGGTTGGAATGGAGCACTGGATGCTTGCTATATACATTTCATTGCTGTCCATCACCCCCAATCATACCTTCACTTCTAGAGTACGTGGAAGGATGAGTCTAAAGTTCCCATCACAAATGGAAAGGTTTTGAGTCCACACCACACACACACACACACACACACACACACACACACACACACACACACAGCAGTGGGCAAAGAATAATAAAATCACAATAGACCAAGTGCCAGGATGCTCACCTTTGCTTTCTCCTTTGTTTTGATTTTTTCTAAATTATGAGATGGACATCATAGGAAAGAGGTGGAAAGTGAAGCAATAATTTGTCATGATTTCACATGTATAGCCTGTGCACAGGACTTCGGTGTCCCTGGTAACAGTGCGTATAACACTTCTGATCCTCCTCATTCTTTTCCATGTCGGTTTCTCCTCCAGGTGTCTTCCTTGCCAGGCAGCCAGAGTTTTACTGACTGTAGAGGTAGCAAACCAAGTGATCAGAGTCACAGCCCAGCATCATGGCAAGACTGTCAGCAAGAGTCTAATGGCTCTAAATCCAAGAGCTTGGTGAGCTCGTCTCCGTCAATCCACGGTACGAGCATCTTGGAAGCAAAGGTCTCAGGACCTGTGGAGGAGGAAGAGCTTCAACTTGAGGTCATGGAAAGGTCACCAGAGATAGTCGACCCAGATATGACCCTCACCAAGACCACGATGGTGGGAGAATACCCAGGGAGTGTTGTTGGAACTGTATTCACTGCTACATGTGATAACACGATGGAGATCACAGGGACTCATGTCACAGAAAAGGAAAACAGGTCTCTGAGGCCTGAGGATACTGGGAAAATGCTGATACAAGGGCACCACTCTGAGTCACCAGGGTCATCCGGGATTCATCAGACTCCAGAAAGGTTCTGTCATGTGGACTCTGAGGTTCTGGGAACAGAGGACAGCAGCAAGGTCTGCCCTGCCACCAAGCGAAGCTCAATGGTGCCAGAGAGGCTAGCGCAGCACTGTCAGCAGCACAGAGGAGCCAGGCTCTATAAAGGTGACCTTGTTGCAAACTCTGAGAAGTCAATTCCTCACCTCAATAAGCCACCTGGAGATGCTCCCACTGACTCCAATGCTGCCAGCTCTTTGTCTGTGACAACCCAGATGTCTTGCAATCTGGTGTCAGCTGCTCATAATGTTGCAGACTTGGGAACCAACTATAAAGGAACAGCTTTAGAATGCAGTCCATGTGACCCTGTTAATACCACAGACCTGAGACCACAGACAAAAACAAAGCAGGTCAATGATGTTGCTGTTCAGACTTGTGCATATGAATGCAAGCCCAGGCCTTCACATAATGAGTCCTTAATTCATGGATGCTGGCCCCTCACCAAATCCATCTCTTTGGACACAGGTTTTCCTAGCGCATCCCCAAGAGGCCTCTGCCATCTCACTCATGCCCACTGTTGTGTCTGCTATCATAACTGTCCCAACTGCCAGACGAGTAGGCAAAGCCCTGGCCCAGAACCATCTCTTTGCAGGCATTTCCTGTACTCACATGCAGAGGATCCTGAAGCCCGGTTCATGAAGACATTGAACATACTTCAGGACACTACTATGAGGGACTTGTGTTCTGTAAGTGTTTCCTCTACTAAGTGGGGAAGGCAAATGCACCAACCATGCCACCCACTAACACCACAGAGATGGTGTTCATTTTCTTTAATGGCAGAGAAAACTCAGGGTATAATTCTCGTTTTCAAACATGAGTGTTTGTTGAGTGTTTATAGTTTATGAGATAAACTCTTATGTTTAAGGCTATAACACTAATGGACTTTTCTCATCTCCAAGTCAGTCTAGCTGGCTTTTAAATTCAGTGGGTTAGATAATCTTGTCTGGGCCATTTAGTGTCTCTGGGACTGTCATGTAAAACAATGGGATGTGTACTGTGGATGCAGCTCAGTGGTACAGTACTTGCTTAAACTCCTGGGTTTAATTCCTGGTACCATGAAATGCATTCATTCATACATATGTGCATACATTTGTAGGAAATTGATTCATTCCATTGTCATAAAAATTTTGGGGGAGGAAATAAAGGTCTGTAAAACACTCAACATAATTGTAGATCCATCACCATATTTAACACCAAGAAAGCTCAAGGTAGTATTAATTGATGGGGTATGATTCTAATCATTAATTTGCATTACTGTTTTATTTTTGCTGTATCACATGAACCTCTGATGTCATATAGAGGGACTTCTGGTCATCCTTTGGTAATTGGCTTAACTGTGAGTATTGGGGTTACTAAAAGCTGAATGATGTCAATGTACTTTAATACTTAATTAACCAACTTTTATTTAATGAGTTATTTTCATGTTCTTCTTCAGTATTTTTAGGATAGGGATAACCTAGGAATTCCAGTATAATATAGCTACCAAGCAAAATATTAAGACTACCACATCTGAAATTCCACATACAAAGAGAAAAGGACATTGATAATACAGGATTTCAGTTGTTCAGAGACATTACAGAGGATTTGTGACTTACTGAGTACTAAGATACAATGCCTGATGGGTTCCACAAAATATATGAATATCTATTCTAAACATTTAATTTATATTGTATCATCTAATCATCAATTTATCGTATTCTTGGGTCTCTAATACATGACAAGTACTCTCTCTTTTGTAAATTTAAAAAACAAAAACAAAATAAACAAAGATAGAACTGGGAGAATTTGGGTAATCTTTCAGCACTTCCCAACCACTAAGTGGAGACGTTCAACTCAAATTTTTAGACAATGATGTGCCTAACTTTAAAGTATCTAAATCTGTATAAGAGTGGTTATGTGAAAGATGAAGTAAATTATCATATGAACTTTTAACATATAGAACTCTACATAAGCCTAGCATAAACTGAGAAATGATTTTTCAGATTACAAGACACCAGACATTTAGAATATTTAAGAATGAGCCAAGAATAAAGGTTGTACTAATCATAGAAAGCTTCATCTAGGTATTGTAATCAATTCTGGCTATCTTATTCAGTGGGGAAAAAATGGAAAGGCTAATGTGTAGCTTTGATCCTGGTGTCAAATGAGCCAAGTTGAAATTCTGGAGAATGGGCTATGGATATAGCTCAGTGGTAGAATTCCTCAGTACCTCAATCTTCAGTACCAAAATAAACAAAATAAAGTCTAGGAGAATAGGAAAATCACCACTGTACTCATTTATTGAGGGGTTAAAAGTACTTTAAGGAATTACTCTTCTACTGCGAGTAAATTCCTGCCCTGACCCTACATCCGATGACATTGCCAATCTTTGGAGACGTGTCATAGCTGAAAGAGTAGTGGATGACATGATACTGACAACAAATGACCAAAGATCAGAGATGCTGCTGTCATGCTGCTATACATACACAGGACAGCCCCACAACAGATAATTATTTAGTCTAAAATGTGTTGTCAATGTTGAAAATCATAGCTCTGCAACAATAAGCATTCACCTGACCATTTAGTTTATGTAAAATCATGTTAGGTATGAAAGTTAGCTAAGGAAGGTGGCATTTGAAATCCTACACAAATAATTAGACCAAGCTCTAGTCCAGGTATGGTGACACATGTCTGTAATGTCATAACTACATAAGTTCAAGGTCAGTCTGGTCTACATAGTAAGTGGTAGGGACTACCTAGTGAGACCTCATGTCAAAGATATATTTTATAAAGAAGCATAAATTAAGTCATATTTAGCCTTACATTTTATTTAAAATAGCAACAAGAAAAATACAATCAAAATTATGTCCAAAAATTCAGAAGAGTCTTTCAAGACATGTCCAATATAATTTGATAATTATAATGCTATGGTAAGACACTAAATCTGCTTTCTGATCATATCACCCCACCAATTAAAAATAATGTGTATAATTTCTTGGAAAAGTTAAGAACAGAAATAATAACCATGTATCAGTAGATTAAGAAGCTAGAAGATGGTTGCATCAAAGTGTGTTTGATTATTACTACCAACTTGGTAAGTCATGGAGAAACTACTCAGCGTAGGTATTCAAAGTTGGTTCAAGGATAAGACTGCTGCTTATAACAGACATAGAGACTAAGTCTGGACCCACACCTGAATATGTAGCAGGGTATTCCCTCTCCTACTTCTGTCAAAAGGGGACTTACATACTTCTAGCTGTGTGGTAGGACTTGGCATCTGGAAACAGATGTTGTGCTTCATTTGGAATTACAGCATAGAAAGGTTTGTGGCCCATTGCGCATAGTCATCATCCTCAGACTTTATGTAAGTGTCAAACCAGCAACAGTTCACTGAGTTGGAATTTTGCTATCCATGCTTTCCTAGCCCTTGCCTCATGATGCCTTAGCCCTCTTCCTCTTCCAGTCTGGAATTATCAAGGGTTGGGGAGATGATTCAGTAAAGTGCTTCCTGAGTTAGCATCTTCAGTACCCACATAAAAAGCTGGATATGGGAACTGGAGAGATGGACCAGTGGTTAAGAGCACTGACCATTGTCTAGAGGCCCTAAGTTCAGTTCCCAGCACCCACACGGCTGCTCACAACCACCTATAACTGTAGTTCCATGGGGTCCCATGCTCTTTAATGGTGTGCAGACAAAAACCTGGATGTGTGTGTGTGGGGGGGTAGAGCATGCACCTGTAGTTTTGGTGCTAGGTGGTGGTATGGAAACAGGAGGTTCCTTGGAGCTTATTGACTAGCCCATCTAGCTGAATAGGTGAGCTCCAGGTTTGTCTAGAGTTTATCTCCAAAGTCAGACAGAGGATGATTGAGGAAGAAACTTGATGTCAACCTCTTACTTAAATACACACACACACACACACACACACACACACACACACACCACATGCACATACATGAACATGGACACATACATAACCTCAACACACACCCCAAAAAAAGAATTGGTAGCTGTACAAAAAAAGACACAACAGTAATTGATTTGGCTGAAATGGATGCTCTACAGTTTTACTAGACAGCCATGTGTTTCTCTTCCTTTAAATTTAAGGGATCAGAAATACTCATTCAATGGGAACAGTAAACTCACATGCTCAGATACACTTATGCATGTGTGTCTGTTTGCAGACACATACACATGCTTACACGCACATATAGGTAATCGCGGGGTTGTTTTCTCCCATGAGCAAGGTGTTACTCAAGAAACTTGAGAAACAGTAAGGAGAGTAGTGCATGTGGTGACATGTGCTGAGCCTGAGCCTGAGAATTTACCTGATTGGGTCCCTGAAACATGAGAAAAGGTCCCCTAGGACATGTGTCTTGGAGTGAAATGCTATGGGATTGCTAGGGTTAGGAAATCTAGTCCATGGGTGAAATGAAGATTACAGACAGAGATGGATGCTATCTGTCAAATGGCAACAGGCATTCAAAATAAATGGTGAAAGGAAGTGCAATTTTGGATAAAAATCTTGATTTGAAAAAGTTTCCCCCCTCCCCACCTCCCAGTGGTATGTGACACTGGAAAAAATCCGCAACTGGCTTTGTGGTCTTTTAGCTTACCTAGAAGGATGGTTTGTTGATGTGATTAGATTCATATGTGTATGTGAGTTTTTTAACAATAATTTGTCCATGGAAAACTGATTTGTTCATATAATTAACCTTTTGTATATGAATTCTTGGGAGCCATTTAATCAAAATATGTTATTATAAAGCCAAGAACATTTCCAGAATAAGATGCATGAGAAATAAGATTTCTGAGTATTATAAAATCTTCTATAATATGTATAGGTTTGGGTTAATAGCAAAAGAAATTGTGCAAAATGTAAAAGGTCTGAGTCGAGTAGAAAGTGAAAGGTTGTGTTGTCATTTTGTTTTGGCTTTATACTCTCACTCTTACTGTGGCAGTCTGCACTAATGATTTGGGCCAATAGAGAAGACCTTGTATTTTATGTGTGTTTGGCCCAGTCTTTACACAGAAAAAGAAGAGATCATTACCTCTGCCTCCCTTCTTTTGCCTGGGGTTTCCTTTCTTCTGAAATGTTTTTACCACTTCTGGGGCTAAACTGGTTTTTGAAAAACCAGAAGATGGCAGCACTTTAAAATTTTCACAACACTATAGTCTTACTTCACAAGCTGGTTGTCAGCTATTCCCAAATCCAAGCCCTACACCCCATATCTTCCAACCACAAAGGGTTACCCCCAGATATCTATCAAGCTAAGTCTTGAAGCCCAGTCTTAATGACATCAGTCTGCTTGGGCACTGTGCTGCCATGGTCCGGCCTTGCTGTCCCTTCAACTTTGAAAGCAGTTTCCTGAATTGACTTGAAGCACTGGACCAGAGCCCTCCTGAGGGACAGGTGCCTCCTCATGCTGTCTGCTCACCCTTCATTTCATGAAGTGACTTGGTTAGGTATTGGGAAGGAAAAAGATCAACCATGTGACTTGAATTTGAAATTTGAATAGCGTTTTGACTACAGACACAGACATTAAAGGGTTCGGGTCTAAAAACTTACAAAAGATGCTCTCACGGACTCCAATGTCATTTTCATTTTTATGAGCCAACACCAATGTGTTCCAAAGACTTCAGCTGGTTCATGTTCATTCATGCTAAAGCTAAATACATCAGTCATTATATAAAAAAAACAAAATGAGGTAGACTTTTCATATCAAAGTATCAGTCTTAGAATAATATTCCCAATATGAAGCTTCTGGGTGAAATAATACCAAGCTGCCATGATCTTGGTCATATGATTTTGAGGATAAAGATAAAAACCAAATTATGTTAGAGGATTGTGGAGGCCAAGCCCAATAGTCAAATGACTCTTGCTTAAACTCCTCCATGATCACGTTCTTTGACTAGCAGCATTGGGAGAGAAATTTAGGGAATGCATATTTTCAGACAATTGTTGCTTGCAGAGCATTAGACTTGTATTAAGTGGAAATGGGGAGGAGGGTGAGCTTCAGCCAGGAGCTTCTCTTACTGATCTAGAAGGGAGTCTGATGGAGATAGCTAGAGATCCACCAGTGTTAATAGCACTTAAAGTCAGTTGGTGGTGGCTCTGGGGCTCTGAGTCATAGCTGTACACAAAGAATAATCCAGTATACACTGCAAAACAAGAGGGAGAGCTGACAGGGGATCAGCAAATTGGCACAGTGTCCCACAGACAGGCTGGGTTCAGTGGCTCTCGGATGCACAGGTGACATCAGCAAAAGTGGTAGAAACAGATTTGATTCAGTAACTCCTGACAGTAAGGGCAAGAGCTGGGCTTCAGTTTGATCCGTGCAGGAGTGATATGGGCAACTTAAAGAATGAGATGGGGGGGGGGGACTCAGTTGGTCTAGCAATGTAGAAAATGGCAAAAGACCAGTGGGTGTGAATGCTGGAAGGGCAGATGTGCTTGAGCTGACTGTACCTTAAACACTTCTAGGTAAAACAGTAAACACCAAGCTGCCATGATCTTGTACATGTGATTTTGAGGACATATATTTTAAGAAGTCTTGGACTTTCCAGAGATAAGATGGCAGATTCCATGGCCTGTCAGTCAAATGAGTTTCATTTCAATTACTTCTTCAAAGACAATGGAATTCCAACCTCCCATGGAGCGTTCTACTGGGGTTCACTTCAAAGCAATGGCTCTCGGGTTCTTAAGAAAGACACTTGTGGGTGGAACAGCACATCTGTTCACAACTGTGAGCCCTGTTAGCAAGGGCTTTGAGGAAGGGTGGCTAGAGTCTGTGCCTCTGTGTCTCCCTTCCCACAGTGCTCACTCAACATGGCTCTCAGCACTCAGCAAGAAGCTCCTTTTTGCAATAGATGGAATCTATTAGAAAGATCCACAGATAGTCAAAATGCAGAGAACCCCTTCATCCTTTCAGGGGACGCCCTGGAAGAGAGGGTGGAAAGATTGTAAGAACCAGAGACTGAAATGTCTGCTGTGTGGCAGTGTGGACATGACAGGGATGTTCTACCCATGGATCCTCAACAACCTGGCTGCCTGCGCAAGACATACAGAGACCACACCTATCTACATGCTAGCATGTGTGGAGGAAAATGAAATGAGGCCTTACCCCTAGATGAAAAACTACAGGCAATCAATGCTTGCTGAGTATGAGAAAAAGTTTTTTTTTCTCATATTAAGTGGTTATTCCTAAATACATTTGCACAAGGGAAACGTGTGTGTGTGTGTGTGTGTGTGTGTGTGTGTGTGTGTGTGTGTGTTCTGGCAACCTTGACCTTTCCTAGGTGTTGTTTTATCTTCAACACAGTGGCTGTACCTTAATCTACTGCCATTTCAGCTAGCAATTGCAACTCCACAGTTACAAGCCCACTTCCTAGCAGTGTCCTGGCTGTTCAGGCCACAGCCAGGTGGGAATGTTGTTCCCATAGGCACTGCTTCTGCTGCCGCTGCTAAAGGTAGCTTTAACTAAATCTCTGTGGTCCTATTTATAAATAAGACTGGAGATTCAAAGGCTGGGTTGAAAACCAGCTAGCTTAGAGAGGCTGAGTACCACCTAGCCAAACCTCTCTCCTTGCTGGCTTCTCTGAAAAACTGTCCACCCACTCTGCCAAACAAAAAAAGCCATGCCACTCAAAATCCCTCCCATCTACTTCTGGTGCATCTCTCTCTCTCTCTTCCAGATGCCCTCTGATGCTTTGTGATAACTTTCTGTTGACTAGTTGTTAATTCAGTCTCCTGAACCAGGATTTATTTTACTTAATTAACGTGAATGCAAACAGTGTGATTGAATAGCCCCCAACACTTAGGTGTGCAATTCAACTGGATGATAGTGGGTGGTCAACCTAGGGGCATAGCCAAGTGCTAGGATACTCTGGTCAATTCTCTACAGGTCAGAATTATTAGCTGTAAATAACTCCGTAGCCCTTGGAGATTGCAAGAATATATTAAATTGAAAGGGTTAAAAACTGAGCCTCTGGGGTCAAGAAGAGCTCAGGTCTTGATTCTAGCTCACTGATAGCATGGGAGTCTACCATTTCTCTCAGTTGCGGTTGTTAGATGGGTAGACTGGATCCTACAAATTTCCCTCTTCAAGGACTATAGTTAAGCAAGGGCAAAACTAGTAAAAAGGCTCTCTAAGCAGATTTTTCTGAACAAATACACATGAGTAACTATGCTCACTGTTCTCAATGCTAAGAGTGATGGGGTACTGGGTACCAACACTGAGCAAGATTAAAGGAGGTTTCATTTGTCTAAGTATAAGTCTGCTCTCTGATGATTCTTCTTCTTCTCCTCTGTCCACTCCCTTGCATTGGTGTTGTGTAGGACTGGCTTGCGCTCCCCTGTACATTTAACATCCAAGTACCATTCAGCAACCACTCCCCTTTGTCTTAGTCAAATCCAACTTCTAATCTCATCCAAAGCCACAGGCTGGGCCTCCTTGGTCTTTTATAAAAATGTTAGCAGTTGGGCTTCTTTGAAAACAGTGAATTCTATCTACATGGGAAGGAAGGCAGGGCCTAGCCCTCCAGTTACGTTAGCGGAAATGTCACCATTCTCTGGCTTTTCTGTTTGCTGTCAGTGCACAGTCTATGAGATGGAAACCATGAAGATGGTGTGCCAGAGTTTCCAGGAGCACTTAGAGGAAATTGAACAGCACTTCATGGGACAGCAGGCACTCTTTCCCAGGGACATGTCAGAAGAAGAAAGGTAATTATCTAAGGCAAGCATAAAAGTAAGTACCAGACCACACACCTGGAGCAAGGGAAGGTAATCAGGTCAGGCAAGGCAGATGAGCATGATGGAGCAGGGCTAATGAGAAATCAGCCTGCTCTTCCTTTACTTTCTTGGCCTTAGTTTTGCTTTCTCAGTGTGAAGCTGAGAGAGCCATCACTGGATGGACACGCTCTTATTGAAGATTGGGGTTATTTGGAAAGGTTAGAAGAGGGGCAATCATCTGGGAGAACAAGAAAGGCCAGCAGGATTTCGTTAGTTGATAGAAATGGAGCTTGCACAGAAGCAAAGATGGGGAGGGGGATGTTAGAGTTTTTGAAATGTGTATTATTGTTACCAGCATTAAAAAGTTAACCAAAAATGGAGGCCCATGGCTATGGGGGTAGGTTTTAACTGTAAAGGGCATGAGTGCTGTGGGTTCTTATTGGGGCAATGGCATGTTTTAGAGCTGTGTGGTGGTCAACCTTATCCCATTTTGTAGTTTTCTTATAATGTATTGCACCTTGAGTTTGGCTCAGTGTTTAGCTGAGGGTGTCTGCTGCAGTTTCCATCAGCTACTAGATGAGGGCTCTATGATGACATATAAGTTAGTTAATCAATCTCAGTAACAGGAAGGGCATATAAGGTAGCCTCTCCACTATTGCTTAGATTGTTAGTTGGAGTTACCCTTGTAGGTCTCTGGACATGTCTCTAGAGTCAGTTTTCTCTTCAAACCTATAATGGCTCCCTCTATTAAGGTATGTCTTTACAGGTAACCATGACACGTAAATTATGCCACAATAGGCTTTCTATGTAAAGAGGGTGTGTTTGGGATGTGGCTCAATGGCATTGTGCTTATATAAAGTACAAGCCCATAGCCTAACACTGAAAGGGGTACTCAGGGTGGGGTGGGAGGTACCTGCCCTACTAACAGACTTACCGCTACAGCTGAATCAAATAAGGAAGGCCAAAATCTCTTTTAAGTAATCTCAGGGGCAGAGAGATGGCTCAGTGGGTAAGAGCACTCACTTTGCCCAGCTTGACTACCTAACTTCCATCCGGACATCGGGAGAACTGCTTGCAAGTTTCTCCCTGCTCACCCCTCTCCTCATACACTGTGTTAGGCATATGCACATGGTCACATGGCCATGCATGCACACATGCAAGCACACACACACAAAGAGAGAGAGAGAGAGAGAGAGAGAGAGAGAGAGAGAGAATTAAGAATGTCAAAGAAAGGCAGGACCCACTTTGAGAGAAGGACATGGAAGACCGCACCTGGTGGGGATTTTGAAGTTTCCTTTTCCATTATCTTCATGCAGGGCAGAGGCTGAGGACCTGAGGAGTCTACGAGAGGCCCTGAAGCAGCAGGTGGCAGAGCTGGCATTTCAGTTAGGAGATCGAGCCAGGCAAATCAAAGAAGGGATCCTACGGGTAAGGGGTGTGGTTGAGAATGGATGTGAAGTAGATGCAGAGTCGAAATGTCCCCAGTCTACTACTAGTGGGAGAGCTGCTTTAAGTAAGAAGCCAGTGGTGTGACGATTGGAGACTGTAGCTTTGCATGCTACATGCCCACACAGCTGTCAAGTGGTGGTTGGCTCCATTTGCAGCTACTCAAGCTTTCTCCTGCCATCCAAAGGAGAGCAAAGTACTAGTGCTCATTTTCCATGTAAGAACAAGGCTCTCAGAATAGCAAAGCTCACCTTTTGAGCCAATACAAGCTAGGTCACTACTATACCCTGCTATTGGTTCAATGTGCCCATAACAGAACTTTAGCACTTCATAAACACCTTTTCTGCAAATCTGAGGTAGCTATTTGTCTCTCCCATGCCTGCGGTGGCCTGAAAAGTCCCTCTTTCCTACTGGGACTTCCATTCAAGTGAAAGCAGAATTTATGACCGCTTCAAAAAAATTAGTCTATACCTTTGTTGGGAGCTGCTGTCTTTGAGCAGTGTTTATTAAAAAGGGGAGGGGGTTCTTCACAACTTATAGAAATATAACTTGAGCACTACACAAATCCCGTATGTACCCATGAGAAAGAAACCCAAATGTGACTCTCCACATGTGAGCATGCTTACTCTTCTCCCACACTTCCCACTATTAACCCCTGTGGTTAAAATCTATGCTAAAGGTATTGTTAATAAACTCCAATTGTGACTATACGAGCGATTTGATGGAAGCAGTTTCTCGGGTGAGGATCCTCTTCCCAGATGGCTCTAGCTAGTGTCAGGCTGACACAGAACTAACCAGTGCAGCATGCCACCATGGCTGTCAATCTTCCTGTCTTGCTCCTCACACATTCCTTTTTTGTTTTTTCTTTCAGCAGCTAGAACGTCTCTCAGAGGAGCTACCTGAACACTGTGAAAATCTTCAGCAGTGCAACTGGACAGAGTTCATGGGTTCAAACCCACACTGTGGCTCCCAAGTCTGTCCTTCCTGCCGGCAGTGGGAAGCAGATGCCCAGCTGGTTGGTCACTCTGATCTTGAGACCAGAGATGGGACATCTCTACAGTCATCAGCTATGACAGAGTCAAATTCAGATCCTCCATCAAGTAGTGCTGGACTGTAATCTCTGCTAGATCAGAGAGTTTGATGACCCTTGAACGAAATGGAAGGTCCCAGAACAACTGGAACAAGGGAATCCAAATCCTATGTACCCATCTACTCTGTGATTACGCTTAGAGTATCTTAATGCTCATTGATTACATAATAAGGCGTCACCAGGTATGTGCCTGTCTGGGGGTATGTTATAGTTACCGAGTAGCATATGGCCTAAAGGACATGGCCTCTACCCTGAGCATGTGTCCTAGTGGAGGAGAGTGAATATAAGCACAAACATGTATCTGTAATTAAAATTCAAGAAAAGGACAATGTGACCTTACTTCATGAAAGATGAGTATCTGAGTCTGTTCAGGTACCTAGAAGGCTGTTCAGAGATGTGATATTGCTCATGCTGGAGGCAGCTATGAGCAAGACAGAATGTTTATCCATCAAGAGTTAGGTTAAGTGAGAGAAACAAATAAAAACCATTTCCACACAGATAATTCATGGAGGAACCACCATGTGACATGGGAGGGAAGTGCCAGGGGCCTCACCAAAGGGAGCTATTGGGAAAGACTTGAAGGTGAGAAGATGGAAGCCCTAGAGAATTCAGGCTCAAGACACTAGAAAGCAGAAGAGCAGAAAGTTCACAGGCTGGGGTGTAGAAACACATTTTGCCAACTGTGGTGGATGATAGTGAGGACCTTGACTCCCTTTGGGTCATGGTCAGGAGTCTAAGAGCATGTATTCTTTCAAGTGTAACAGAAAGTTTCCCTGAGTGTTAAACATGGATTTCATAGGGTCCTGTATAATCACAAAAAGATAGTGCTGTGGAACCTACAAAGAGGTGAGGCTGCTGGCTACAAGTCTATTACTTACTGTTGTCCCTCAAGTCAATGATGAGTTGTGTAGTTGATTCCATCCAGCTGTGGGAACAGCAAGGCTCCTACTACAGGGGAAGTGCATGAAGGTAGATACAAAAGCCAAAGGATGACTCTGGGATGAGGAATAGATGAAAATTAAAAAAATAGAAACAGCATGTGGGGAGCTCTTGAGGAAGCTTCTTATTTGTATTAGAGGATAACTAATCAGAGGATGCTTGTTAGCTAGGAACCTAAGACAATATTCCTTTGGGAACTGTCCACTAACCTGTTTCATCCCTTATTTTCCTGCTTTGGTTGCTATGACTTCAGTGAGGCTCTGATTCCCAGGGACCACCCCACTGTCTTTACTACTATACCTCTCAAGGATGTGAACATCTCCATCCACACATTATCCTCAGCATCCTTATGCATAATATGGCCCCATCGCCAATCTCTTCCAAAACCCCAGTCCTCTTGCCACACACACTCAGATGAACCCATCTGCCTTTTCTCATTGTATCCTTTACTGGCATCTCAGTTATCATCCACTGCATCGCTGCTGTATTTTGTCATGGTGTGGCTTCCAGAGTTCCTCATAACCTGGTGATAGCACAATGCATGAAACCTCTGACAGGACTTTAGCTTTCTTCTCTCTGAGCTGCCTTGGCAACTGACAAACTGCCTCTGCCAGACACCAACATGTGTGTGTTTCCTTGAGTCAGAGAGAGAACATCAGAAACAATAGGTCAGAGACCAAAAAAGACATCCCAAGACTGTGGTCTCAGAGCAGTCTGCTGCCCAAAGGTTTCCCCAGCCTGGAATCGCTATGCCCTTTCTACTGCTGCCTTACTTTCTTGGACCACATCTCTCCTCTGGTTCCCACATTATGATGCAACTTCCAGCCCCAAACTGGCTCCTAATTGCTTTTGTACATCCTAAATTTCTTCCTTGTCTATACTTTCAACATCCTTTCTGGTCCAGACTTGAGCTGTATTTGCCTGCAGTTAAATCTGTGTTTCCTGCCTATTCCTCCCCACACACTGGACTGCCTACTACTTTGTTTTATGGTCTCATGCCTTACTTTGTTTTTATGTCAATCTGAAATGCTGGTCCTCTGAACTACCTTATATATTCCTACATTCCTTCTTTATATGCATCAATTCAACTGATAACAGTTTGGCAATATTCAGAACACACTCATGTATGCCTTATAGACATTGTTCTTGCCATTATTCAACTATTTTGTAACATATATATTGTTTTATCAGGCACTACAAGTAATCTATGGAAGGTTTAACAAAGTATGTAGATGTGTGTGTTCCATGCAAACACTGTGTTGCTTAACATGAGGGTGATCGGACAGAATAAATGCAGTAAATTGGTTGCAGTAATTAACACAGTATCCCCCAGAGTAAATGCTCAATATGTGTTAACCAGTATTGACTCAAAAGACATCAATAAGCCCAATGTGATTATTACCTGTATTCTGTTGAGAAAAGTTCTGTGAACAAAGAAAGCAGCTTATGCTGGAAGAATATTAACAAATGCCTGAGGGATGGATGAACAGAATAAAGTGGTGCTTTCAAGAGACAGGGAAGATGATGACCTCACCCCAGAAGCAGCACCATCTCAGGCTGTAGGAGGAGCTAAGCTTATGCGTGAGTCTTTACAAGTGTCAGGCAGATGACTTCAGATGTGAAGGAGACAGAGACCTGCTGCTTGAATGAAGAGTGGCAGATGAAATCCCCAAATAGGTCTGCATAGTCAGTGGCAGACCCCAGCTTTCTAACAAGGAAGGAAAAAGGGAGAAAATGGGGAAAGGCATCTATGTCCCACCCAGAACCTTTGCTGTCTTCAATGGCTGATGTGCTGGCTGCCAAATATCACCTGGAATTCCAGTTCTCTGGTCTTTGGACTCAGACTGATTGTAATAACTGACTTTTCCTGGCTCATGTGATGTGATAAGTGTCCTGTCTCCAGTTGGTTCTGTTTTTCTGCTTGACTCTGATAGTGAGGAAGAGCTCAAAGATCAAAAGCTTGACTTGCAAAGAGGTGTGCTGAGTCCTAGGCTTATTAATAAGAACTCTGGCAATAAATCCAAGGTTTGATCCAATTTCAAAACTAATTATTTGCATTTAATAAACTAAGCTCCGTTGATCTCAAGGTCATCACCAATAAATTAACACAGATAATGCTTATTCAGCCCTTTAGCTGAAGTCTGGAATGTTGCCAAGGCTCAGTAAGTAAATACTGTTTGTCCTTAGCAGGATTAAGAGAGTTAAGAGTAGATTCCATTGGTTGACCATCCTGCCCTCAGCTGAATGCTGAACAGAGTATTTTATATGTCCTGTCACATATCTCCACAACAAAATTCCGGAGCAGAAACTCACCTGTTCATGGCACACACACACATACATACATACATACACACACACACACACACAACTAAACTGTCTGAGTTTTGGGAGCTAATAGGGGATTAAGCCATCACTGATTCACTGATTTTCTAGAATAAAATTTATCTTTGAGACTCTATCAAGCCTTGGGCTTGTGTGGTGTTCACTAATGGGCCCAATTCAACCAGAGCAACTTTGTTTTGTGCTGCATTCTGCATTGAGCTTTGTAGAAATCTTGCTTCAGGTAAATAAATACTCACTGCCTAGAAAAGCTTGGAAAACCTTATATACTGACCACATTTGACTTTTGTAATCAGATAGGTTCTGTTGCTTTCATGTAAAATGTTTTCCACTACATAGAAATTCTTTTGTAACTATCATTTTAGCAACCTGTAGCTCATAACTGCTGTCATGTTGTCAACATAATAACAAGAACCCCTTTGCATTTCCTGAGTGACACAAAGCTGTTTCCTCTTTTTCTCTTATATGTTGATCTTGTCCAAGTTAACTCTTGAGACCTTAGATCTTGTATTTATAACCAGAAATAAAAATAGAGAAAGCCATTGTTTCAGGAAGTAGATAACACACACACACACACACACACACACACACACACACACACTTCTTTACATAAAGCTAAAGCTATTTTGTTTAAATAAAAAAGAATGAAAGAGTAAACAGACTTCAAATTTTGAAATTTGCCAGGGAACAACTTGGCCTCTTCTGTGTCATATTGCAGGGATCTTCCTTGTATGGGTTTTACCCCCTCCCGATTTCAGGATTCAAAGCCAAAACCTTGATTTGAGGGGCTAATTTCAGAAATAGCAGTTGGAATTCAAGTCAAATATTTTCTTTGGTTTTGTCATGCATGAGTGAAGACCCAAGCTGCATGATGGAGACAAGGAAAACAACCTTGAAGGTTGTTCTGATCCATATCTTATGCAAAGACCACAAAAGTTTGTGTAAAGCAATTAATGTTTTAGTGCACAGAAAAATATTCTCCAGAAGCATATCTTGCAAGATTTTGTGTATAGAACAGAACTTTCTTAGTTCTATTTGTTTTCTGTAGAGCTGAACCTTAGTTTTCTTCAAAAGAAAATAATTTTGCTAACGCTGGAAAATGAAGTCAAATATTCTCATGACAAGAGAGTTTGTTCTGGAATTACTTGTTCTTTGTTGAAGAAGTAATTTGTTCCTTTGAAATGAAATGGAATAAATAGGACATTTATGAAGAAGTCAAAGAATCAAAGTTATTTCTTCTGGGGAGGAGATATTTCCAGGGTGTTTTCATGTGGGATGGCAGTTTTCATATCTAATTTCAAATTGGAATTTGAGCAACATGTAACAGCTATAATTACAGGCATGACAGATTATTCAAACTGTCAAATCTCCTTTCTTGAAAATCAGAGAATGTAAATGGAATCTGAAACATGGAAGCCGTCTTTCCTTAACTCAAACCCAGCCTCTAATGCTTTACTTTCTTACTAAAGATCTCTACTAATTCTTTGAGAAGTTCATACAATGTATTTTGATTATATTCACCCCTATTCCCCCAGCTCCTCCAAGATCCACTACCACATCTTTAGCCCTGCTCCCAACTTTGTGTCTTCATTTTGTTTTGCTTTCAAATAGCCTATCTTGCTCAATTTGTGCTACCCATGTACTCCTCCTGTGTATGGGGTCATCCACAGAAATGTGGTGCTATGTGACAGGTCACACTTTAACAAAAACTGGCTCTCCCTTTCCCAGGAGCCATCAACTGTCTATAGCTCTTCAATTAAT